CCCCTCGTTGGAAAGTCTGGGCCACGAGTAGACCGGGTCCCAGGAAACTTTTCCAGCCTAAGAGCAGGGGGCCTGGACCTGATGATCGCATGAGATCCCTTCCAGCCCCTAACTATGAATCTATGAAATGAGGAGAGAACAAGTTACCTGGCCATTTTGATATCTGTGTGAGGGACGGGGTCTCTCCAGGATCCCTCGCAGACTGGGGATCTCTCAGGACTTGTATTTTCATGTCATTCTCTAAGGATGGGATCCCGGCATGAAATGTTCAGAAATACCCTTTGTTTCAGAGCTGCCGGGTTCCTCTGTGATTACAAAATCTAGCACCCGACCAGTCCGACCGCCTCCAAGTTGGTCACGGTTCTCAACTGGGATCTGCAAAGGTCCAAAGAGTTGTGAAATGTTCCACAGTTTGAGCTATTCGTCAGCTGAATCTTAATGGCAAAATGTTCTTGGTCAACTTTCTTATTTAGTCTGCGGAAGAGAAGACAGGGGGATTGAATAGCAGCCTCCAAGTCCCTGCAGGGGGTTGCAAAGAGGATGGAGCTGGGCTGTTCTCAGTGGTAGATGACAGGACGAGGAGCAGTGGGCTCAAGCTGCAGCAACAAAAGTTAAGGTTGGATATTAGTGAGAAAGTTTTTCCTAGGAGGGTGGTGAAGCACTGGGACAGGTCACCCAGAGAGGTGGCGCAGTCTCCATCCATGGAGGCTTTTAAGACCTGGGTGGACAAAGCCTTGGCTGGGATGATGCAGCTGGGGCTGGTCCTGCGTGGAGCAGGAGGTTGGACTGGATGTGACCTCCTGAGCTCCCTTCCAGCCCTTATTTTCTATGATTTTATGAAATGTTCCTGACTCTGGAATGTATTTCTCCAGGTAGTTAGGAAGTCCCCAAGTCTGTGCAGTTTGCAGGCAAGATGCACCCTGACTTGGGTGAAGCTGAGCAGCGGTGATGGGTGGTCAGTACAGCTCATTGCCTGGGCAGGTGTTGCCCCCTACAAGCATCTGGTTGAAGACGACTGTAACTCTGGGAAGGGCTGTGGTCATAGCCATTCTCCGGCAGCATGATGTTAAATGTTGTGTATTGTGGTTGGTTGTAAATGCATTGGCTGGAGGCCAGGTCGGCTGAACAGATGTTCCTTGATGTGTCCTACCACCAGATGCTAAGATGCTTCAGGGTGGGATGAGCGGGGTGGCGGCGGATGTCTGTTTAGTCTCCTACTAAAAAGAAGCAGCGTAACCTCTACGCTTTCTGCCTAGTGATGTGCATCACAGCACGTGGACTGTTTCCTGGAGGGGTTGCGATGGGAGCCTTGGTATCTGGGGGACCCAGTTGCAAAGGGGCACTGGCAGCAAGTGGCTTCCCATCTCTACCGTAGTTAGCCCTAGCATGGGTAGACAGGGCAGGGTCAATGAGCCTTCCTCCCATCCCACAGGCCAGCAATGGTTCGGGGCCTTGCCCTTCATAGTTTCATAGGCTGGGAGGGACCTTACACATCATCGGGTCCATCCCCGCTGCACTTGGGTGTTGTGATCCAGCATCGTCTGCTATAAAACGGTGCCTCCTGGCCTCCACCCATCCTAGCTGAGCTCCAGGAATAACTCTCTCAGCTGGCAGCAGTGGTAGGTTGTCTTAAAGGAGTCACAAAAGGAGGAAAGGCGACCCGCTGGCGCAGATGGCCCAGGGTGTGATGCAGCAGGGCACGGGGGTGCTCTCTGCTTCCTTCTCTGCATCTCCTGGGAAAACCCTGGCATCATCCTGGAGCTGCTGCTCTTCCACCGGTCCCATCCCTTGAAATGGAGCTAGTGATGCTCTGCTATTTCGTAAAGCATCCCTAAGGGTTGACCTGAGGTCTCCTGCCTAGTCTCTATCTGAGCTCCCTCCCCACAACAACCCCCTCTGTTACTCCCATCCAATATGACCCGATGCTCGTAGCTGGTCTCCAGTCCTAATTGAGCCCTTCATTAGGAGCTAAGTGGCCTTGTTAACCACGCCGCAAGCGCGCAGCGCTGGCAGCGCGCGGGGGAAAAACTTCCATTTGCTCCAAGATTGACTGGTTGGGATTCAGCTCACAGGCCTGGGCTCCAAGGGGGTTTCTCAAGCTGCTTGCGACCTCCTCTCAAGATCTGTGACTTGCCACGCGGCAGAAGAAAAACACCAAGTGATCTCTGCCGAGGCTTTTCCTCCAGAGACGTTGTGTCATTTCGGGTTTGATCCATGGTCGGTGAGGGGGAGTGCAGAGAGGCACGTTGCCTTGGCTTAATTTCAGCCATGGGCTGCTGGTCATGTAGATGTTATTATTGCAAGGTGATGCTGAGCACAGTGCCGTTAATTTGTACCAGAAACACGCTGTTCTCAGGACAGGAAGCATCAATAACGCTAATGAGGGAAATGGGCTGTGCAGCTTTTTTTCCTTCTGTCTCCTTTTCTCCAGCTCTTTTCCCTTGGCATTTTGCATATTAGGGAGTCTGCCTGGTCTACACGGAGAAGATCCACGCGAGCACTTTGGGGCCCTGTGAAGGCAGGCAATGCCAGCAGCACTGTGCATTGGGACTCGGGAGACTTGGGTTGAATCCCCAGCTCTGCCTGGCTGGCTGGGTGCCCGTGAGAGAGCCCCTGCCCCTCCCTGTGCCTCGGTTTCCCCATCTGTGCAATGGGGCTAATGATGCACTGCTATTTTGTGAAGCACCTTGAGCTCCCTAGATGGAAAGCACTGAAAAAATAGGAAGCAGGGGCTACTAGTGTGCTCTTCCACCCCTTGTCAGCAAGTCTTCAGAAAACAGTCCCTTAAAGTTGAAAGCCTAGCATCCTTTACCAGCGAACCCTCACAGCCCCCGTGCTGAGCAGATAGCAGTACTGTATTGATAGTATTTACCAAGCAGACGGCAGTAGAAGCGCCAGCCCAAATCAGGACCTATTTTGTTAGACTCTCTAGGTCTATTCCAGCAATTAAGTGCCACAGTGCAACCCCGTTGCACCTTGCCCGAGTCCCTGAAAAGTTATTTTAACCCGTCTGCTTTCATAAGGAGGGTCACCAGCCTCTGGTGCTAATGAAGCCTAATGGAATAGGGTCATATTTAGGTGCCTAAATACACTACTCCACTGATTCTGGATAAGATAAGCCCAGAGATTTCAAATAGGTGTTAAAACCACACTGCCTTATTTGTGGGCTTTTGGGGTTCTTTGCAACAAAAAACTCTCTCTGTTATTTTTCTGTAGTCAAAAAAACAAGTGAAAGCTAAGAGCTGGCATTTTCCTGGGGGGCTGTGAGTCTATCGAGGGGTGTCTCGAGCCTAAAAAGGTTAAGAATCGCCGCCCTAGCGTATGGAGCTGGATGTGGCGTGTACACATAATGATGGCAGGTGTACGTCACTCATAGCACATCTGTATGTAGGTA